CTCTACGGTCTCGACGCTCGGTTTTCGACCTCCACGGTCTCGACGCTCGGTTTTCGACCTCCACGGTCTCGACTCTCGATTTTCGACCTCTACGGTCTCGACGCTTGATTTTCGACCTCTACGGTCTCGACGCTTGGTTTTCGACCTCCACGGTCTCGACGCTCGGTTTTCGACCTCCACGGTCTCGACTCTCGATTTTCAACCTCTACGGTCTCGACGCTTGGTTTTCGACCTCTACGGTCTCGACGCTTGGTTTTCGACCTCAGCGGTCTCGACTCTCGGTTTTCTACCTCAACGGTCTCTCGGTTATTGATTTTCAACCTCAACGATTATTCGATTTTTGGCTTCAGTTTTCGACCCCAGTTATCATTCGGCTCTTGACTTTTGGTTTCTCGACCTTTGTCGAAGGTCCTTCAATCATTTATCTCAGTGGATGGTCATTCGGTTTTCGGCCCCTTACGGTCTTCGGTGCTCATGTGGAAGTTTTATGATTATTCGGCGATCGAGGACTTATTCAAATTATAACCTCAGTGGCAGGTTAACGAAAGCGGCTCGAAGAGACATTTCACTCTTGGGTCGAGTTATGCTTACTCGACCAGAGTGGGGGGGACTAGATGATATAGGATATTATACTGGACTCGGTTTAATGGATAAAGCGAATACATTATAGAAAATAAGCCTACGTGCGGACTAAAGACATATAGCACCGAGATATGGGCCAAGCCCAACTTGGGCCCAAAAGGTACACTTCCCCTATAAAAGAGGGGTAAGGTATTTCTTTCACTCATTCTCTCCTCATTACATGACTACACTTTCTCTCTCTTGATCTGGGCACTGACTTAAGCATCGGAGGCCCGACGCCGGGGCCACCCCCGGCGTTGGGTTCTGCAGGTACGGAGGCCGGTTCGAGTTGAAGGAGCCCGGGTGAATTCTATTCACTTCATGTACTATTGAAAAGATGATACTACCAATATAAATAAGTGTTTATCTTGAAGAATTGAGTTTTAGAATCGAATATCTTAAGATTGTAACCGATTTTAAGATAGTAATTAAAATTTTAATTAGTTTTAAAAAATCGTGTCTACAATATATTATTCAACTTCTAAAAGATGATGATAAGTATAAGTTAGAATTTTAGAATCCATGTGAGTATTAAAAAAAGAAAAATAATAAACCTTACTATTCATGGGCTGCATTAAATTCTGGACTTTTTTTTTGCTATTATTTTTGGTAAATGGTAAATATTATATATATATACATATATATATATATATATATATATATATATATATGTTATAATATTAAATTCGCATCATTCTAATAACTTTGAACTAGTAGGCGTGATGTGAAAAAATTATGTGAATAGATTATAATTTAAGAATATTTTACAGAGAAAATAAAAAGTATGATGAAATTTTTATTCATTATATTGTAAAATTTTTCTTTAGATATAATATTATTAGTGAATGAACTATTTGTTGATAAACGGATTTGTATCAACGAAAATATACACCCCTACTCTGGGAATAATCGGTGTTAGATAAGTATGCAATTTCATTAGATGTTTAGAAGATGAAGATCCCCTAATTTTTCTTCATTTTGTGTGTTTGTAGAAGATGGAGGAATAGTCCCCCCCCTTTCTTCTCTCTCCTCACTCTATATATAAATGCCCTTTTTTACAAGTGGGCCAATTAAAAAATAGGAGAAAAAGTACACTAGTATTTAATGTGAAAAGACATTGTGGGCCCCGATCGTGACACTTGACGGCTTCGATTGACGTCTACTTTATCGCCAATTATTGTGTCTCACGGATATGAATCTTCTCGATATTTGGGTCGAGCTAGTGATACTTAACTCTTCTCGGCTCGAACGTGGGCGATCCAGACCTTTCGGAGCTCGGTTGATATTATATAATCAGCTCGGAATACCTGCTATTTTATATTTATCTAATACATATCCACGTGTCGTACTTCTATTAATCGAGGCAAAATTGTGTATCAACATTAGGCCCCCGACTTTAGGACATGTTCTAACCAGAACTGTTCTGGAGTCGCGTTTATTTACCAATTTGGCAGACTTTTGCTTATAGTTTTTTGAATTGAGACTCTTTATGCTGAGATGCATAGTATTCATGCAATACATAAGGTTACAATATCATGTCTTTATCTTATAGAGATCGTCGAGTGGATATGTGTCGATATCTAATTTCAGGGTGCTTTGCGACCCTCTAACATCATATTGATCGTTTTCAGGCAAGGGCCTGCGTTTTGTATTTTAGTCGTGTTTTATGCTCTTGGATGAGCTAAGTCAGTGACATGGATGGACAATTC